AATAGAGACATGAGGCGCTTCCTCAATAAATCTGGAGAAAGTAAAACAAAGATTGTGGTTATTGAAGACAATTTTATCAATATGATCAGCAGTAGATGTATACACTTGGTGAAAAACTGCACCTTCTCTATTTAGCTCTGTAGCTTTTATTATATTCTCCAGCATGAAACTAAAAAGATCACCTCCTGAATGAAACCTTGCTCGGTATCGAATAGCTTAGAGAGGCAATACTAAGCCCAAGCAAAGCGGCAAAGATGCAGCTCTTTTTTGTGCTATCGAAGGCAGCTTTAAATTCGACGGATGGGTCTTTTCTTTTTTGGTTAATGATTGATTAGCCAAGTCTGACGCCGCACTATTAATTTCGAATCAGTTCATTGTCGGCTTTAGTCAACCATATCAAGAAATCTTACGACACTTATTGGAGCGAACTCAAATCAAAATCGCCAGGCAGTAATCAACCGAAAAAAATATTGAAAACAAAATTCTTGCATTCTTAGAGTATTTTTTTAATCAGTCAAATATACAGTTAGTCAATGAATGCCTCACTTTCGTCTCCTTCAAGACGAGTTACTCCTTCAGGTATGTCCTGCTCCCTCATCCATCAGCAACCTACTCGCTTGTAACGACAAGAAAAAAATTTAATAATGAATATATATGTATTGCACTCACAGCACAAAGACAGCTTTTCGACTTCTAAAATAACAATAATGAAGAAGAAGTGTGAGAAATACCTAAAAAATGATGAATCACTGAAAAGCAACGAGTAATGAAAAATTAAAATAAAAATATGTAAATTTTTGCTGACACAAAGAGGAGTCGAACTGAGCCGTGCCATATCATCCTAAATAAAGTAACAATTTCTGTGAATGTTAAAAATAATATTTTTTATTTATATGGAAAAAATGCGATCATAAAGTTATTTTACATACATCAAATAAAAATTTAAAAGTCTGTGATGTGAGCAATTCAGTAGCATCGTCACATATTAAAATATAATATATTATATATATATATATACTTACATATATACTCGTACACTAACCTGCCTTGAATGTATCTACGTCGCCTCTTGCCTCTACTGGCTACCGGCACCTGACTTTTACACGTTTGGATATGCGTACAGTTTTCAAATCTCAGCAGGTGAATGACGACTAAAAAATGCAACAAAGCCAAGATAAGTAAATAAAGGTTATTTGAAGAGAAGCGAAAAAAATTAAATGGAGGAATTGTGAAGAAACAAGTTAAAAAATAAAAGAAAATCATACGCAAAAAGTTGCGAGGAGCATGCATGAAAATCACCGAGCAGGTACACAGGTACAATTGCAAAAGTCGCCATGAGTTGTGATGAAAATGATTTATTTATCTCGAAATGGTTTTTCACTCTAAAGCAATGCCGTTAGACACACTGCGAAAAAGTCGCAACAACTCACCCCGCTTATTTAGCCATAAAAATTGGTTGCTCAAACATTTTTATGCCACAACAAGAAGACAAAGAAGCTATTTTGTATAAGTAAAAGCCAAGTTAATTATTCATGTGTGATAACAGTGTGTTAGAAAAAACTGTAGTCAATTTTCGCGGAGAACAACTCAATGCATGCTTTCAAATTATATGTAAGTGCCGATGCCGATGTGATATGGAAGAATTTATATATAAGGTGTAGTAGAAAGCTCGCTCGGTTTTTATCTAAGAGATAGTACTAGTGCTACGTATCACATGAAAACGTGTTTATTCGTGCTAAAAGTTTGTCTTTGACAGTTTTTCGATTGATTGACTCAGTACGTTGTGAGCGCTCGTCAAAGATGTAAACCAGCAAAGATAAGATCCGCTAAATTTTACAATTTTTCTTCGATCTAGGCGGAAAAGCAGCCAAAAAGGCTAAAAAAAATTAATTTAATTTATGGGCGCGGACGTGTAGCACAAAAGTTGTTTTGCTAGGTTCCGTTCCGGTAGTTTCGATGTCAATGATGCACCACCCGTCGGGTAGCCTGTCGTCGAAAATTGCGATGAAATCATGGAAATAGTGGAAACAGACCGTCACGTGAGCACTTATTTAATTGCTGAGGAACTAAAGATAAGCCAGAAAACCGTTTGGAACTATTTACATATCCTAGGATTCAAAAAGAAGCTCGATGTTTGGGTGCCACACGAACTAATGCGAAAAATAATGATTGGCCGAATTTCCATCTACGAATCGCTGCTGAATCGCAAAAAAATCTACCCGTTTCTGAAGCGGATTGTGATCGGCGATGAAAAATGGGTCACTTATGATGATATATCAAAGCTCGGGAAAGCGGCCCAGATGGTGGCCAAGACCGAATTGACGGCCAGGAAGGTTATGGTGTGTGTTTGATGGGATTGGCAAGGAATCATCTACTACGAGTTGCTCTCCTATGGCCAACCGCCCCCTTTAGGCTCTCTACTGCCAACAAGTGGACCGCCTGAAGGCAGCACACATCCAGAAGAGGCCATCTTGATCAACAGAGGCCGAATTGAGTGCCATCAGGAAAACGCCAAGCCGCACACGTCTTAGGTGACGCGCCAGAAGACCCCGGAGCTCGGATGAGAGATCCTAATGCACCCACCTTATAGCCCGGACCTGCCACCAAGTGATTACCATCTTTTCCTGTCCATGGTGAACAAGCTTAATGGTGAGAAGTTGGCTTCAAGAGAGGTCTGTGAAAATTGGCTCTCCGAGTTTTTTGCCAATAGGGTCGCAGCCTTCTAAAAGCTATTGACAGAGAAATCGGAAAATTGTTATAGCAAATGTTCATATTTTTTAAGTGGGCGCTTAATAACCGGTGTGCGTCTCGATAGTTTTCCAACTAATGGAGGAACTTTTAATTTCTGCCATATCGCTTCCAAAAAGATAATGGATCTTATGAGTCTTTCACATGTCAGTGATACGAAAATTAACATCTCACAAGGGTATGTGAAAATTTAGACTGAGAGCCCAATCACCATCCTTATCAAAAATACAATCTCCCGGCCTTTCAAACAAAGTAAGTTGTTATGGTTGCCCTATCACAGATCAATGAGAAAGTGCACTTAGTTTAACTGGCCCGTTGTAATAACAGTGTTTGACCTCGTGGAAAAAAGTTACCTATTAACTTTCTAGATGCTCAAACCATTTAATCTATAACATTCTATAAAGCACACTGAAACTTTCTGAAGCAAATTTTGGAAGAAAGTCGAAATAAAAAATGCCAAGGAAGCAACGTCGGGTCGTACTGATGGCTCGATGCTTACCGCCTCCACATCAGCTATACTATACTAGAGAGTTTCACTATCCTCCTACTGTAGGTCCCCGTGATAAAGTATCCATTAAATATGCAAATATGGGATCGTTTGGTAAAGCGTAGAGACTTTATTCCCTGCCCTTCAATCATTAGCCGGGTTTGTCTGATTAAATTGTTTATGGTTTGCTACCGCCATCTGGTACTATCCTTGCTGATGAAAACCGATCTTAGTAGATATTTAGCCGACGAAAGAGGTATACAAACATCATTTTCAAAATTTACTTGAGATTAAGGTAGATGTGAATTTAAGCCTATCTCTTAATGTAAGACCAAGTGGTCGTTTGAATTAATCGTATCTGGCTTTTTTAAAATTGTAGCATTTTATTCAACAATCAGATAATTTACAGAACTGCCAGATATGACCAATGTAGTTTTAGTTCTCATGGCATTGATGTTCTATATACCGCCAGCGATTTTCGGCCGTGCTCTTCTTCCAATTTTAGGTTTGCGTGTTGATGTTTTTTCCAAAAATTGGGGGGACCTAAAGTTTTAAATAAGTCTCCTCCGAAAGGGCTTATGATTTTTATGAGCAGTTCTTCGTTCATGTCAAAAATGCATTCTCCTTCCTGACTTAGAAAAATTAATTTTCTACAATTTTCGATGTTGGTCAAACCAAGACTCCAGCCCCAGCCTATAGAATGGCCGTACACAATCATAATAATTTTATTATTTCGTCCAGAGTATGAGTTGAGTTGAGTTACTGCGGCTGCTGCTACTAGCACACTTAGGCCAATAGGCCCATTGTGATGCCGCTCCTGCCCTCACCTTCTCAGATGAGCGAGCCTTTTCTTGTAAATTATAAAGGCAATATTCTCTGGGGCTATCTCACGCTGAGGTCAAGGCTGGACAGTGGCAGGGATAGTGCTCGATGGTCTCCTCTTTTTCTTCGTCCCTACAGCTACGCCCCTTAAGCTTCGACGATAGTTGTTTTGGTCACATTTAACGTGATCTCGTTAAACCATCTTGAGTCAGCTTCTCTGGTAAAAGCCAGTTTAAGCATGTCTTTTGCCGTGGACAAAGGTAAACCAGCATCGTGTGTGTGTTTTATCGTGGGTAGAAGGATTCCTTGCTAGTTCAGACGCCATGCAATTTCCTGAAATATTCTGTGCACAGGTAACCAGACAACGGCAGTGCTAAATTTAGTTGAGAGTTTGTTGAGAACGTTCCTACATTTTATAGCTATTTTTGACCTGGTACCATTACATTGGAGAGATCTGATTGCAGCTTGGCTGTCAGAGTTTATTGCAGCCGATTGTCCTGCAGCCGTAGATTTGTGCAACCACTCAGCGGTCTCCATGATTGCCTGGAAAACGCTACAGTGGTCTGGTAGTGTAATGCACATACTCAATGAGAGCATCGGAGAATAAATTCCGCAGCATATTTTTCCTTCAAGCTTCAATCCATCTGTGAATATGGCCATTGGAGACATATTAAGTTTTGGATCTACACCGGAGTAAAATAAGTTGGTGTCCTCCCCTCCTACAAAGTCTCTTCTACCTTTTCGTCTAAAAGGTATCCTGATTTTGAAGCAACTATTGGAGGCAAACTTTGAGAACATATAGTGTAACTAACTCGTAAATTGTTTCGTGGCCTCAACAAACACTTTCCGCGAGTCTGATGTAACTTTTTGAATTGAAAATATCACTGTCCCTTATAGTTTTAGTATATTTTGGGTGTGTGTTTTATAATGCATTGTAATTTTTTTAAAGTTGCCTACATCTGGAGCCCTCCAAACGGCAACAATATGGTGGACAAACGACCGCCCGAAATACCCGCGTCGGAGTGTAACATTCCGTTAAGGCCATTTGACCAGTGGGACGGCATTTCAGCTCGCATATGCGTTGACCCAGTCTTGTTAGACGTATATGAATCTGGCAGGCATTTACTGGAAAAAAATTTAAATATGCAAATTTTTAGAATGCTCTGCTATAAGAAATGTACTCTAATCTAAAATATATAAATAACCAAATTAATTATTAGTTATATTGGCTTTATTACTTCATATATAAGTATATATAAATCTCTCTAAATCTTTCGCAAGTTATTTACTGCAGGAGCTATAATGCTTCAGACTTACAAGGATAATTTACAAAATCTTCTGGTTGTTATAACTCAATAACCAAAGGAGTATTAGCAGCAACAAGACAGAAATATTGACGCGCGAACAAGAAGAAACCAACTCGGTTTATTACGCTGCTCATTTAATGTTCAAAAATTTAAATATTTTAAGGTTATAATTACTGGTATCAGGTGTACAACTTTGCTTCCGCCGTTTTCCGATTGGTGGCTGTACCGGCTGAGGCTGGTGGAAATACATAGATGATAATGCCTTTAAAGTGAATGTGGACAGTGCCTAACGAATTTTCATCGCCGTTTCAGTGACAGTTGTTCTTGTTTTCGTATTATTCACGCTCGAAAATGTCCGTTTATGTGCCTAATTCTCGCCATTTGCGGTAAGTTTTATTTTTCTGTTACAATTCGAAAAAAAATGCAGCTGAAGCGCATCGAATGCTCTCACACGGTGATGCTGCTGTGAGTGAAAGAACGTATCGGGAGTGATTTCAACGAATATTCACGGAGCAAAGGTTATGATTTGTATTTGGTGGGATCAGCTCGGTGTGATTTACTACGATCTCTTAAAACCGGGTGAAACAATCAAAGGAGATCGCTACCGAATGCAGCTGATGCGCCTTTGTCGCGCGCTAAAAGAAAAGCGGCCACAATATCAAGAGCGACATGACAAAGTCATCCTCTAACACGACAATGCTCGGCTTCACTTCGCAAAAGTGGTCAAAAAGTACCTGGAAACGCTGAAATGGGAAGTCTTGCCCCACCCGCCGTTTTCCCCAGATGTCGCCCCTTCTGACTTCAACCTATTCCGTTCGATGGCACACGGCCTGTCAGATCAACATTTTCAATCCTTCGAAGAATTGGAAAAATGGATTGCTTCATGGATAGCATCAAAAGAGGACTCCTTTTTTCGAGCCGGGATCCGAAAATTGCCAGAAAGATGGGAGAAAGTTGTCGCTAGCGAAGGACAATACTTTGAGTTATATATCTGTAAGCACTTTTTCGCAATAAAGCTTTTAATTTTGGGAAAAAACGGCGGAAACAAAGTGATACACCTTTCAGAAATAAAAGATAATATTTTTAGTTAAATCTTCAATTTACAAAAGGCATAGTTAAATTTATTAGTTTTTTCAGAGTCTCTAACAACCGGGCGAACACGTTTGCAATTTAATATCTCGAACAGTCGGATCGTAAATTCACGGTTTGAAAGTAGCAAATTTGGGCTGTGAAGATATGTATCTTATTTTAGTTTATTCAGTTTTCCACAAAGAATTGTCAAAAATATTATATACCTGGTGGCATCATTTGGCCGTTCTTCTTCAAAGCAGATGAGAATCGTAACGTAACTGTGAATGGTGAGCGCTACGTTAGATGATATTAATTTTTTTTTGCAGAAAATGCGCGTGCTTGACTTGCATGGCATGTGGTATCAACAAGACGGTGCCACATTCCACACAGCACGCGTATCAATGGACTTAATGAAAGGCGAGTTCGGTGATCATTTTATTTCGCGTTCGGTACCGGTCAATTGGGCGCTTAGATCGTGTGATTTAACGTCTTTAGACTATTTTTTGTGGAGCTATGTTAAATCTTATGTCTATAAAGACAAGCCCGCTTCAATTGACCCGTTAGATGACTACATAGAAGCATTTGTTCATGAGATACCGGTCGAAATGTTGGTAAGAGTATGCCAAAATTGGACTAAGCCGATGTAACATTTGAGGTGCAGTCACGGTCAACATTTGCATGAAATAATCTTCAAACATTAAATTATATGGACCGTATTATCGATTCAAATAAAGATTTCATGCATTTTTTAAACTTTATGTGTTTTTTGTTTTTGAAAAACCTTCCTATAGCTCTTAAAAAATCACCATTTACATACATATAAATAATAAATATAAAAAAGGTTAGAAATTGGAAAATTATATTCGAAGCTCTTCTATATTCTAGTAAACGTTTTTTCGTTATATTAGGTCAAGTAAAAAGTAACCCATTATTTTTGTATTGAAGAGAGGGTCTTATTTACCATTACTAGCATTATACGATTTATGTCAAATATACACCGTTTTGGTAGATAACGTTTTGCCTTTTCAAAGATAATTCCATTATACCACTCTGATAAATTAGGGTAATCCCAAGCTTCTCTTGAGGCCGATTCTTCATTAGCCAAATCAGCCACAATAGGCAGGAACAGATGGTAATCACTTTGTGCGAGGTCCGTATGAGTACGCTCCCGGCGCTTCTGGCAAATAACTATCGATGTTATTGAGCAAAGCTGGATGCTTCTAAGGGATTGCTTCCTAGATGGTCTAATTGCTCATAATATGTCATTTTTTGGCAATACCACCAAACAGAGAACAAAATTTTCTTGGTCCTGAGTCCCGATCTGGAGACCGCTTTTGTCGGATTTTTGCGCTTCAGCCTTGGTCAGTTTCATTTGACGCTACTTTAAGTGAATCACTTTTCATCAAAAGGTTTTTTCTGGTCTACTCATGTGGCATCCATTCATCGAGCTTCTTTGTGTACCCAGCATATTTTAAGGGAATCCAAACTGTTTTCTATGCAATGTTTAGCTCCTGGGTAATCAAAACAGTACTCGCATGATGATCAGACTGGACGATTTTGATTAGTTTGTCGACACTTTCGACAATTGGTCTTTCACTCTGGAGAAGCATTTTTACATCGAAATTATCGGTACGAAATCGACGAAATCGAAGTTCATATTTTCAACTGCCTGACATACGCGTTCGCCTTTATCGAAAAAAAATTCTAGAAAGCAGCGAATTTTCTCTTTTCTCCTTGCTGGTGTCCACTTTTGACGTGTGATCAAACAATTAACTCTGTAGTAGTGATCAACGCTTCACTTCTCATCTTTTTGAGTACAAAATATAATATTTCCAAAACCGTAATCCAATCACACTTACAGGTCGCGGGTATAGATCACTAAGGCCATCGATTGCAAAAATAACATTTTTAACTAAACCTAATATATATATATATATATATATAATATGTATATTCTTATATATGTATTATATATATATATATATATGCATATATAATTGGCACTTTGTAACTGTTTAAGCAAATTTGCATTACCTTTCTTATGTGTATGTTTGTAAACAGCAATTGTTTTAAATGATTTTAAAAAATATTATTTTAAATATGTAATATTAATTAAAAACCTATTTTCTTACCTTCCATAAGCACAATGCAAAGGAGTAGTAAAACTACGGTTGTATAAATAAATTTTGCCATATTTCTCGAAATTATTACAGCTGATATGGCAATGAACTGTGAAATGAATAATGACAATTTTAAAATTTAATACTGTTATTTATACTTCATTGGCAATTGAGCTGATATTAAGAAAGCTGTTTTGTTAATCGTTCTTTCTTCTCTGCCTTTAATAAGTTATTTAATTGTCATAAATCGAAGGTTTGTTTATGATAATTTTATAATAGATAAATTTTTAAATATTGGAGCTTTTTTATTGGGAAAAAACATGAATTTTTAATCGGGTTCCTGGTTCATAAGCCACTGTGCAAAGTGTATATTATTTCAGGTTAATATGTATATAAAGCGTCGGCTTTTCAATGTGCAGTATTTCCTCCATGGGCTTTCTACTTGAAGTTAGGTTGAGGTTAGAGTGCTTGACATATTTTAAGAGTCTCATGTGGCAATAGCACTTGTATGTTGTTACCACCACCTGTGGCCAAAGCGCTTCACTTTCTGCTAGGTCTGTAGTTTGAAGAGCAATGTTGTTTCATCGAATTCAGGTGCTTTGACACTTTATCTCTTGTTGACTGCATTTCCTGCGCTTCCTGCATTTAATACTATCAATCAGAGCTAATTTAAGCACTAGTGCTTCTTAAGGGGGGGGTTTTGAAGGCAGAAAAAAACAGGTTTCTACAGATTTTTTTTTGGGCGTAAGGTGAAAGTAAATTTATTTCTGGTTATTGTACATTAAAGAGTTGTAATTGAACTATATTCTGTGAAATATTGGTTGGAAAATATTGACAATTGACCGAATGGCAGCAATTCATCGCAGGCGCCTCAGAAAAAAAACATTTTGCGGTGCACGTCATACCTCAGCACTGGATCATCTGAAATGAAATAACCAAAGTTTTTCCCTCAATTTGTATGTCCCTCTAGGTATCCCTGTCGAGTTTTTCCATTTTTTTTAAATTTTTGAAGTTTTTACAAGACTTGAAAGTGAAAATACCGATTTTTTGTTCAAAATTCATGACTATTGTTGTTAATAATAAAAAAAAAATTAAAATAAAAAACAAAAAAATCTTGACAAGGTTACCTCATAAATTATGTAAGGAAATACTGTAAAAAATTTGAGAACGATCGGTTGAATAGATTCTGAGATACAGAGTGCACCGACTCAAAAAACATCGATTTGAGAAAATCGCGTTCAAAGTTCTCGCGCCCGCTTATCAGTCTCCTGAGCGCATTGTCTCTCAGAGGCCATTTCTGCGGAACTACTAGGAATTTGACTCTGAAACTTTGTGGAAATATTTCTGAATATATTTCTAATCGAATGAAATAAGTTTAAAAAAATCGATTTTTTCGACCCTCTTAAACAGTCTAACTGGCAGTCTGGAGTCAAACCACATTAACCCTAGTAAGAACTAAGAACTACTATAGGAAAGTTATATGTTGGTTTTAAGATTTGTATACATTTTATATTTTTTAACTCAGCCTAAAGCCTATTGTTGCTATGGCTACTTTGCTAAATTATAACTTTTTACTTATTATTATTATGTATTAGCTTTGCAAATAAATAAAAAAAAATAATAATATTTTTCGTTCCTATTTTCTTTCTCTGATTGGAACTGGCAATCCTATGGCTATCTCCTGCTCTAAAAGAACTTTATTTTTACTGATATTTCATGGACCATCTCTTTAATTTATATACCCTTATGACCTGGTATTCAAGAAATATAGAATTTTCTCGCGATTCTGCAGCCTTTAGTCCGTTCTAAAAATCTAGTTGCCTGACAATGCAGTAATACTTCTTGCGTTTGCTTCGCTTCAATGAAAGGGACTGATATGACAGATTTCTATAGGACCGCCGATGCTTTCTTCCTTCGCTTCTCTGCATTTTGTCTTGGTAACAATTCCCAGGTACTTAGTGATAGGTTTCAGCTGTGAAGTGGCCTCTCAAAGCATCGATTTGATCCAATCTGAAATTTCGCATTTTATTGTGAATAGAAAGCTACTAGTATGCTACTTGCAAGTAGTGTCGATCAGTTTGCGATTTCCTAATTATTAAGTTTTTATTTTAAATATTCCTACTCTCTGAAAATTCAATATCGCAGTTCTTGCTCTTATGCTGTGAGAGTATTGATCGGCTACAAGTAAATGAAAAAGGTAGGATCAGTCTTAAAAGGTCCTACGATCCTGTCTTGATTTAAAGAAGATAGAAGTAAGCAATTGCAGAAAGAAGAAAAGGGAATACAGATCAATAGGAGGTAATCAAAGCATACTAGTTTTAACGTGTGATTTCCAGAGCACTCTGATTTTGTGATGAAGTGCATGAGCCCTACCCGCTTCAACAAAATGCCCAGGATAGCAAATATTTGTAGAAAAACTATCTCTATTTTTAGTAGAATAAAAATAGACAATTTGTTTTAATTATTATATTGTATTAGTTTTAATTTCCTTTCATTTGATTATAAGTTATTGAATCTATCCCTGCCTTGGCAAGGGGAGGCACCTATTACCCGAACGACAACAGCCCGGTGGGCAGGATTCCACTATCATATTCTTCTTTGCTGTAATGCAAACAGTTCCTCTTGGCGGACAATAAGGTATACACGCATAGTTACCCGGGCGCATAATAATTGTACGATACCTGCAGCCCACAGCTGGTTTTTGTGCTATTTTAGAATAATTAGAGAGTGAAGATAATTAAAATAATAAAAAATATTTATTAAAAATAAAAATAATAATGAATATCAAAATAGTATTTTCTATGTTTTTTTTTTACCTTGAATTAGAGCAACACTCAATAACAGTAAAAATACAGTTGCGGAACGGAATGTGAACATTTTCTGAATTATGTCTTGTTGTCGTTGAGTGCACACAAACTGACTGTTTTGAGGTGCAATTTTCTTGGTTATTTATGTTCGACTTAATGCGGAAGCCCAAAGCCAATGACTTTAAGACTTTCACCTATGGATATTATTTCATCGACACGTCTTTGTTAAAAATAATAAAAATAAGATTCTTAAACACGATACCAGAAATTTTGAATGAAAGCATTTATATTAACAACTAAACTGAAATAAAAGATTCTAGAAAAGGCTTTCTGCGGAATAAGTAGAAATATTTACAATGGGGGGAATAAAAAAAACAAGCTTTTGTTTTCGTTTTTTGACAACTCATAGCATGCAATTATGGCATTGAACCACTAGCAAGGTCCTCGAGACAGTTTTTTTTTTTTTTTTTTTTTGAAGTAATAGCCTCTCTTCAAGTATTTGAAGATCCTCTGAGTTCAAATGCGTCAACTTTGCATATTTTCTTATTCCCCGAGCAAGAAATGTGCCTCGTCGATGAAAGAGATTTTGTTCGAAAAATCACCACCCAAGGCTTTTCACTTATCAATAATGCACAGGCCTGTCAATATCTGCAACCGATCTAGTCCATTCAAATTTCTTTATAATTTTAAGAATTGAAGGACTCATTGAACCTGACCAGTGTGCGGTTGTTAAGCGATCCATTTACATAAATGCCTGACTTTTAACTAAAAAAACATGTTTGGATTAACAGCTTAGATATCAAAACACAGGCCCGTAGTTTTAAAACCACGAAAAAGGGTAACCCTATACACTATAAAATAATTGGTGTATTCACTTTTTGTATTTGCATATATTGGAAACCACTTGCAATAATAACATTTTATACCTTTCATGAATATAAAATAATATATTACTAGGGTTCGAAGTAAGTAAGTTGTAGAATAAGAATAAGGCATAGACTCTTCATAACTTATGCCAAACGAATTGCCCACAGAAGTAGAGGAGGCTCCAAAAAGGCCTTTGTAGGAGCGTGGAATTTTTCGGAAGTTTTCAAAATCACAATATTTTTTCGTCTATCGATTTCAAGCTATTATTCTCATGAACACCAACGGTAGGATATGGAAAGCAATTGCATATATACTCGGATAGCCAGTCGGCATCAATTGTAGGAAGGTTCTAACTCGCTTAAAATGGATTTCGGTAATGCAAAAGTTGATGGTCAGAAGCATCACTTGACGAATATTCATATCCAACTGCAACAAATCACAATAGTATAGCACAGACACAAATCTTTATTAAAGCCAAGGATCTATTGAACAGGTCTAAGAAAGGCATTTTTAAAATTATACCCACAATATCGGGGCACTGACCCTTCGGAGAGCAGGCAGTCCAAATGGCTCTGCTGGTTCGTTATCGCAGCTGTAAACAAGTAGAAAATAGAGAAACACCTTCCCATTTACTTTGCGAGTGCGCAGCTCTTTCACAAATTCGTCAAAGAAATCTGGAAATCCATCAGGTTCGAAGCCTTGAACGGCTGTCTAAAAAATGCTGATTTAAGTTGTTTCATTGAGAGCAAAACCACAAATTGGAGAAGGAACTGGGCCAAAAAATCGCTTCAGCGGTTACAAAGCGCCAATTATATATATAAGTTCCTTTGAGTTATAAGGACTAGTCCTTATTGACTGACAGTTAATCTCACCGAAACTTTCGCACTCAGAACCACATTAAGCGAACTTAAGACGACAATATTGAGCAGATTTTTTTTGAAAATGAGTGTTTATATCTGGGTATATGATATGTGCCCTGCCAGAAGCCGTCTGTGTGATGATTTCAAAAACAGTTGTCAATTTCACCACTTATTTTTCTAATTTAATTAGGCCTTAAGCTTAAAGAATTAACAAAAATAATAATACAAAAAGAAGTTTAAAATAATTATTTGTAATATCAGCATAATTTTCTTTTTTTTTAGCATATATATTATTATATGTACACAGTTAATATACTAGTATATTTTCGAATCATATCAAATTCCGAATTGTTTCAAACACCACGAAATTGTTTCAGCCACCAATTCTAACCGTAGCCACGCACTGACCAACAGCTTCGCGGCAGCACAGTGGTGGACACATAGCAATTGTAAGCGGTCTTGGCGCTACGAAGCACGTATTCCCTGGTTCTCTCGGTGCACAATTGGGTTCACACACTCTTTCGAATGCTTTTACTTCCATATCTATGGGTGTACAGACCAACGCTTGACCTAATTAAAATAATATATATATGTATATGTT